TGCATAACATTTCTAAGTGCTTCCCTCTCTCTCCAATATGATCCCCTAATGGCATACTTCAAATTCTCTATTTCTAATACGAATATTAAGAGTAATCATTATTTTGCACATAAAATCAGCATGCATAACTTTGTCATCACATGACATATCTGTTTCATTCCACAGCATACTAACTGTGAGTTTGTTAATTCTTTCGGTCACAGTGACGGGCTTACATTTACGTTTACGAGCACCTCAGAGCTGAAGCACAGACACGTTCAACCACAACCCAACTGCAGAACTGCAGCTGCACCTCTAATAAGAGTTTATATGATTCAAATTTATATATTCACGAAGATGTATGATGAACAATATTTGTCAAGTACACTCGTCTCCTGCTTTCTTCGTCAGTGCCGCAACATATAGTATTTACATCTGTAAGGAAGGGAGTAACACTCAAATTCTGAAATTAAAGTATTCTTATGTAGCAACAGCACCAAAAGCAACAATAAATTGGGACTCAGGATTTGAATCACATACAAAACAAATCCTACCACAAAGCTCACACACTGCTTCAGCAGCATACGGACAAGGATAAAGGTAGGGTAAGGTAAAGTTGTCCCTGTGCTTAACTAATTAAGCACCACAAAGGTCGCGGGTTCAAGTCCTGATGAGGTCATTCGATTTTTTTCAGTTGACCTAATCCTTCCAGCCGCACCATGGCCCTGGGGTTCACTCAGCCTCTAACAGAAATGAGTACCAGGAATTAACTGAATAATTATCCTGGGGAGTAAAGCGTGGCCGGCGCGTAAGGCTGACAACCTTACCGCCATCTTTGAGCCGATTGCCTAGATAGTGTGGGACCCTCAACGTCTCACAACCCTATGGTCCCTCACAGCCTGGTACAGGGATAGCTTTCTTTTTACTTTACCATGAAGGGATATGGGAGCGTGGATGTATACATCCAGTGACAAGGGTACAGATGTAAATTTCATAACTTTGGATATTCTCTGTTAGATCTGTGATGGATTTCAAATGTCTTCTGACAAAGAAAAAACTAAACTCCCATTCCTCTCTGCAACATAAGAATATAAGTAAGATTTGAGGCTTTCACGGCGGTGACTATGAAGAAAGCAGTCTTCTGAGATTTGGCACTGTGTATATGTGGTGTTAACCGACGTTCCTCCGAAACGTCGGTTAACACCACATATACACGGTGCCAAATCCCAGAAGACTGCTTTCTTCATAAGAATATAAATGCACCACTCCACTAACTGCCAAATATATGTCCATTTTGCAGGTGGTCAACTGTTCACTGCCTGCATCTGTTACTGTCATCTGTCTCTTCAATCTACTTACGGTTAAGAACAATGGACTGTGAGTGGAAATATCACACACAAGTGACCCTATCTTCTCTGAGACCTGTCTGTCTGACTACTACCTTATCAACTAGATTGGTACAGAGCATCTGTATCATTCAAGTCATCTACTGCAGTCTTCAGCACGATCAAAGGGCTTGTATGAATACAGCTGAAGAACTGAGGATATACACAAACATTTAACCTGAACACCAAACACATTCAAATTTAAAATGACACTACAGAATTCCTACAGCACTGTACAATTACCATGTTTCTGCACAGATACACACCTCTGCAGTTTGCATTACATTCCTGAACAGGCCACATTTTCCTTCCTTCATTTACAACAATTTAGCAATCCCCTTTCACTGTTAACGTTTACAAACCCCTTCTGCTCGCACCATTTCCTAAGCTCCCCCTTTCTGTGAACATCTCAACTTACACCACTCACCTTCAGACTCCCCTCCACCCTCTTCTGCAACTCTGCTTTCCCTTAATTCCCTTCTTTTCCTCTAATTGGTGGGGTCTGCACAGAAAGTGGTGGAAACAGATGTATCAGGAAGGGAAGAAGAAGCAAAGATGAATAGTTCACGAAAATTATGTATGGAGAAGTCAAAAGTGGAAGGATGAAGGATTCAAGAAAGGTAGGGAAAAAAGGAAGTGGAAGGGAAAGTGAAGTAGGGACTGGAAAAAAGAATATGTAATTAAAGAAAGGAAACTGATTGGGTCTTGAAAAGGAGATTCAGCAAAAGGCAATATGGAAGAAGAGCAGAAAGGAGAAGTGAGATAGTAAGAGAAATGAGGGCTATGAAGATAGCAAGTGGTGGAATGGGGGAGTTCAGGAATGATATTCATAGAAAGGAAATTAGAAAGGGTGAGGAGAGGAAATGGTAGGTTTGAAAACAGTTCAGGAAATTCACGAAGACAGCATTTACAAAAGAAGGTAACAGAGGAGCTGAGAAGTTTAGGAGTGTAGAGGACGGTAGGTTGAGGGAGGGAAGATGTGAAGTGCAATAGAAAATTTTCAGAAAACTCAGGCGGAAAAAGTAAAATACAAATAGGCGGAGAAGGTTGTGGCAGAAGGGATGAAGGTTAAAACAAATATAAGTATATGAAGGAACAGTGAAGGAGATCAGGCCAGTAAGTTGATGACCATGACGATATGCTGTACTGAACTATAATATACTAAACACAAAGTCTGCTAGACAAGACAATAAAATGTTCCACACTATACTGTGACATGTCAATTTTTATAAAACACTATTGTGCACACTATTACTTTGTACTAACATTCAAATAAATTAAAGGGTCCTAAATATCACCAACTGCAGGGCCTGCATTTCTAAAGTACACCACAATCAGCAAGATTAAGGGCTTGCAGGACACTCATGACGCAAGGAACTGCAGCACCTGCTAAAGTTCCTCCCTTTCACTAACCATAATGCACTTGGTCATCAACTTACGACTGACTTCCATTCTGACTGACAGGTTGGAGATCTGGTCGTATGTCAGCCATATATTTATTAACAGTATTTATTAACCTTTCTAATCTTTTGATCATCTTTATAATTTATTTTTAAAGACTTTTACATTTTAATCATCTTTTATTTTTCATTTTTTTGTGGTTGCAAGTGCAGCTGGTCATAGGTCGCATACATAGTAGCACATTCAGGTGTAAGTTGGACACTGAACATAAAAACCAAGAGACAGATGCATATTAAGGTAAAGCTATCCCTGTAACAGGCCAAGCAGGCCCATAGGGTTGTTAAGACACTGAAGCTCCCACAATTTCTATACAATTGGCTCACAGATGGTGGTGGAGCATTACACCAGAGAGAGATACATAGCAATCATAATACAGAAACTGGAGGACACACGGCTTTCAAATGCCATCACCCTGTGACTTCCAGTAAATGCTGATCTTGTTAAACTTTTCCAGTGTGTGCACAAACTAAAGCCAAGTACCATGATGTCCAAAGCTGGATACAAAAGGCACACTGCGGATACTTGAAATCTGCACGTGGTAAGATAGTTTACTATATTATATTATACTAACGCACAATAAACTGTAGCAAACTGTACTATAATGTATCACATTGCTTTGTACTGAACTATAGTATACTAAGAGATATTATTTTATGATCAATTCATGATTATAACACCACAGAAAAAGTGTGCAGATAACGGTGTGTTCTTGCCTTGAACCCTAGCACCCTGGCTTTTAAAAGACAGCACTACTCATACATTTGCAAGCATTTCCTGCTTGCTACTTAATACTGATGCTTGAATGTCACTGAAACTCTGTAAACCGAATGCAAATATGATGATGAAGTGATGTAATGTAACGCAACATGGAAGCAAAATTAACTTAGTGTGACGTGAATGGCGTAGTGGGAGGTGGGGGTCGCGTGAACTCTGAGACCTCGCGAGTGACATCACATACCCCCACTCCGTCCATCAGTGTGCAACGCTCGGTAGACACCCCTTTCCCTGCGCTGACGTAACACGGGACGCTTCAGTTGCTACGTAGCCATAATCAACTCCAGGCAGCGCTGCCCAGCAACGCCTTTGTAAACACGGCGGGGAGTCCGCACAACGACTGTTCCTAGGCAGTCGGTAAACACGACGTTAAGCAACAGTGGGGCCTATTACGTAACTGTTTTCTGTGTTGTCCGTAACGGGGCTAAATAAGGAGCAGCGAACACTATTCAACAGTTAGTTATGAGTTAGCCAGCAGTGAGTCAGTTAGTTACGAGTTAGCCAGGGAGTCAGCAGTCAGTCAGTCAGTCAGTGTGTGAGCAGGAATGACACAGTGCAGATGGAACAGTCGCCGAGTTCAGTTGTAACAGAAAGAAGAATACCGAATACCGGAACGTGTGATAATCAGTGATAGTGTGAGAAGCAGATGCTTGGCTCACAAGAGAAGTAATTGGGAGTGTGTGAGAGAGTGACACTTGTATAGCTCCCGTACCATACTGTGAATATGTGTAAACTACTGAAGATAGAGTGAATAGAATATGAGGGGGTACCCAAAAGAAACCGAACTTATTTTTTTTTAAACTTATTTATTCAAATTTTAAGCACAAACCTTCAATCCCCTTCAAAGTACTATCCACTTACACTAATACACTTGTCTAGTCTTTTATTCCATTTTTCAAAACATTGTCTAAATTCATCTTTTGAGATGCTTGACAGCGCCTCTGTCGTTCTTTCCTTCACCTCAGCAACACCAGCAAAACGCTTTCCTTTCATGTCTCTTTTCATTCGAGGAAACAAAAAAAAGTCGCACGGGGCAAGGTCAGGTGAGTATGGAGGGTGAGGAAAAGGGGTTATACCATTTTTGGTCAAGAACTGTCGTACAGACAGGGCTGTGTGAGCAGGGGCATTGTCATGATGGAAAAATCAGTCACCCGACTGCCACAAATCTGGCCCCTTCCGCCGCAAACTGTTGCGCAATCTTTTCAAAACTTCCAAGTAGAAAGCCTGGTTAACTGTCTGACCCTGCGGAACAAACTCTGAATGGACGACTCCTCTCACATCAAAAAAACAAATCAGCATTGTTTTCATGGTTGATTTCACCTGACGAGCTTCCTTGGGGGGAGGCGAACTTGAAGTCTTCCACTGGCTTGATTGTTGCTTTGATTCAGGATTGTAAGCATAGCACCAGGTTTCGTCACCGGTGATAATTTTTGAAAAAAAGTTTTGAGCATTTCGGGACTCTTCTTTCAAAGCACAGCATGCTTCCACGCGACCTTGTTTTTGTTCAGCAATCAGCAGTCATGGCACGAATTTCACAGCCACCCTTTTCATTCCCAAATCTTCTGTCAAAATTCGCTGAACTGAGCTCCAAGTCACTCCCGACAGCTCCACAATTTCTTCAATGGTCCGTCGTCGATCTTCCTTNGTTTGGTTTCTTTTGGGTACCCCATCGTATTGTGTAGGGTTTGTAAATTGTGGAAACATGTAACAGTGTTATAATTAATTGTAGCCATGACTTGTAGGTTGTTAAGTAAACCAATTAACAATCCAAACGGCGTCTTCAGTGGCAAAATACATTACATTAGTTTACCGCCTCTTGTTGTGAAATTCTTGCATCCAGAAGCTGCACCATCTCAGAAGCCTCCCATACACAAACACGTCCAGCACAGACTATGATCTGGCCTGCAATGCAAAATAGTACAATAAATTATTGGGAAGTACATACAATACAGCATGAGTTTTATTTTTCTTTTGTTAGTGGCAAGGATTAACAACTGGAAGTGCTGTTATTTCCTGATTGGCTGATGCCCTGTTCTAATGAATGCCACCAATCAAGCCTACATGTGGCTCCTCTTAATGCGGGCTGCCACCTGAAAGCAGGAGTTCAAATGGGAATCTCATTTCATACCATTAGACAAAGCATGCCAATCACTAACCCTGTGTCACAACCCTGCATATGAGACCAAACACATGCTGCTACACTAACTACCTGAAAGCCTCTCCCCCATTCACCACCTGTCCTGTATACAAGGTCCTGCTACACGTATCCAGCTGCCTTGAGTACGGGCTATGGAGTCCTCCTTGCCCTGCCTACTTCCTTATAGTACTGAACTGGAGTTATACGAGATATTGGCTGGCTGGTTGGTTGATTTCCAATGACTGCATCTGGGATCATTTAACCCATTTTGCTTGTTTCCCAATAGAGAGCACTCAAGTTCTTGCTTTGTTGCATCTCCTTGTTAAGATTAGGGCACTGAAGGTGTTCTGGAAAGTTGCACAGTGCACATTCTTCTGTGTTATATATTCCTATCTTACAGAGATGTGCTGCAAGGCAGTTATGTCCTGTATTCAATTATTTGCAACAGCTTCTTTTGTGGGTTTCTTGTTGTTAAAATTTATCAAGCAGTGAAATTACATTTCACTATATCTACCGAACAAGGTCAAAATATGCTGGCCTAGAAGAGTGAATGTAACATGACACCTGTGGTACAGGGGGCTCCTTGTAGACGCTGCACAAGTGAAGAGGCAGACGCTGCACAATCCTTGCTCACCCACAAACTTGATACAGATTTTCTTCACTGATACAGCTCTCAAACTGCCAATATGCTATAACAATTATGCAGGGCTTTACAAATTGTAAATCTGAACACACTATACAGAGTGAAACAAAAGCAAGAACGTCAAATATATTGTACAAAATGTGTCCTGTGAGGTTTAGTTTTCAAGATATGCTTCACTGCCAAGTGGCAAAAGCCATTTAATCATCATCCTTATTATTAGAGTATCCACCAATAATGCAATATAACAGACATTAGGAATATGTTTCACACTAAAAAAGTATTTCAGTACTTCTTGATATTGTTAAAATCATTACATGTCAATAGGACACTAAGAGCATATTCTATACATTAAAAGTGATTATCCAATTTCTAAAATGTCTTTAGTCATATATTTGTTCTAGTTCACAACATGTTTCGGCCACATACGGGCCATCTTCAGGTAATTTCCCCTCTTTTTGGGAGACCACTGCACTGTATACTTGTTCACTGTGCTTCCATGCACGTCAGTATTTAGTTCTATCTCATGATCAGAATGCTGTCGTTGCACTCTATTGCAGCTGTCGTAGTTTTTGTGTGTCGTATGTATCACTAGTGCAGTCTATCTGACAGGTACACAGGAAGATGGAATTGGGTGATATTAATGAGCTCCACTGGGCTGCAAACCCCAAGACACTATACAACACATTAGTCTGAGGCCAAGATTAAGTTACCACTGAGCAGGGGCATGTCTACTAATGAAAAAGTTCAGAAACACTCGGGGAACGTGACCTGCCTAAATGGGGCACTGCATATTCTAACAAAAACTGGTACGTATGTCTGGCAGCTGAACACACACACCTTTCAGTATAGGAGGGTCCCTGCATGAGCTAGACAGCTGAAGAGTGGAAGACAGAGGAAGATGCTACATATGAGTTTTGTTTTTCCTTTCAAACACAACAGTTTACCAAACAATTCACTGACATTTCACTGTGCATAACACAGTTTACTGTTCATACAATGTCACAGCATGCTTCAGCTCATGAAGCCATCATCAGGCGAAACATTAACAAACCATGTACTATTTCTTACTGAAAACCGGCACAACACAACAATCAATAATATGTGTAAGTAGCTCTAGGAGATACTTTTGCTACATGTTTCGGCCTTCAAAAGGCCATCATCAGGCAAATATATTAAACTTTTCGTTATTGAATTGCATATCAAATATAGGATACAG